CAAGCAAGAAGCTACTAGTAACAAGTGCATCGCTTCTAGTAACAAGTGCCTTACTACTAGTAACAAGGTTCGCTACTAGAAGCTTATGTGGATATCTATATATATATATGTATATAAGTTGTACTTCATGCACACCATTTGGAGCTAGTGTGACAGACCACCCACCCACATTGGGACCTTGCATTCAAATTTTGAATCGGTCCAGGTGGCGGGACAGTCACAAGACCTGAGTGCTTGAGGGTTGGACAACTGCAAAGGTCAACCGACAAATAACTGGCACGAGGTCCTTCGCCAACCATGTCTGAACCGTGCTTGAACCAGCTGTTCAAAGCTCTTGTGGATCCGGCGATATTGATGCTTCAGAACCCAATAGCAATGGCATCCAATCTAATGGCAACAAGAAGCTACTAGTAACAAGTGCCTTACTAGTAGTAACCAGAAGCTATTAGAAACAAGAAGCTACAAGCATTGATGTTCTGTCGTCCCGCACAACGCAGACGGTCTTTCTCAGTCTCACCCCCCGGTCCGGGTCTCGTCCGAGTCCGGTGAGTTCGGTGAAGGCACAAAGTTCGGAGACCCAGTTCGGCGCGTTCGGTTCGGTTCAAAGTCACCGAAAAACCAATTCCCATGTACCTAAAAGGACCAGTTGGCCCATTCCCATGCACCCATGGTCCTCTTTCACATCTCCAGAGTCTCCATCTCATTGACTGAGAGCAACCATTCACTGCCCTTCCCGCGCAGAGCGCGCCGCCGCCTCAACACGCTCATGATCTCGCCCACCTTCAAGCCCCGTAGGACGGGACTGCCAGCCCTGACGAAGTGGCCACCCGAAGGATGGACCCCAACCAACTCCAAGGCCCACGCTTGCTACTTAGGTCGATCAATGCTTTGGTATGCTTTGAGGCTGTATTCGGTCCAACCATCCTCTTGCTGCAATCACAGGATGGCAGTGCAAGTCTCGAAACTGGCAAACCGGGCTCATGCTGCAAAGTCACATAAATTGACAGAAACATAATGAGGAAAACTAAACGAAACACGAAACATAATCAGACTCGGTTGTCGCGTCAAAATGCGGATGTCGACCTAGGAACATCCATGGTGGCAAGGTATGACTGGTGTGCATTAGAAAAGGGAGACCCCTCAAAGACCTCTGAGAACATCAAAACAAATCCAGTGGCTGGGAGGTCCCCCTACTTCGACCCCACGCGACTTACCCCATCGCACAGGAACTTGACCCACCCCCAGGGCACACTCCACGAATTGTAAAGCGCAATGGCACACAGCTTCGAAACAACCACTTTTTTTGTAGGTTGTTTCCAAACCTACACATTTACAATGGGATTCAATCTTCTACATGTTACTGGGATCCAAGGTTTTCCAAGATATACCGTGATCCCATCCCCATGGCACACCGCTTCTAACCCACATGTTGGTACCACCTTTAAGTTCCTACCTCGAGGGTAAATTCCTACCTTTAAGTTTCTAGTAGGTTGGAGGCCCATTTCTATTAGGTTGGAGGCCATCGCTCTTAGGTTGGAGGCCATCGTTACTATATAAAAATAAGATACTGTATCAAATGATATACTAAAAGTCAGCTACTAGTAACAAGTGCATCGCTACTAGTAACAAGTGCCTTACTAGTAGTAACAAGAAGCTATTAGAAACAAGAATTAAATAGAAGCAATAAGTAAGATAGCGATGCACTTGATACTGTGTTCATCCGCACCCCCGCCTCCGGCCCGGCACGATCGCTGACTAGGCGGCGTGGGCGAGATGAAGTACGCGCGAAATGAGGATTGGGAGCGAACCGAGGGCGCCTTTTGTTTAGCCCACTCCTTCTTAATCAAATACTCGCATACTTAATTAAGGGAGTAAACACGCGACTGGCAATCAATCTGATGATCGTAGTAATCCTCAAAACAGTTGGATGATAAAGGATATCGGTGATAGACGATAGAGGTATGTAATATCGTTGAAGTCTACCCTGTTGAGGATGCCAACCCTAAGGTTTGCAGTAGAAAATGGCATCACTCATCCTGAACAGCCGCAAACAAGCAAAAACAACATTAGCATTGGCTGGGGGCTCCAAGCTTTGGAAATGGACCGAACAACAACATAATCTATTTGTACTAGGTTGCAGGCCATCGCTAGTAGGTTGGAGGCCATTGCTATTAGTAGGAAGGAGGCCATCGCTCTTAGGTTGGAGGACATTGCTCTTAGGTTGGAGGCCATCGCTCTTGGGTTGAACCACATCACTCTTAGGCTGAAGGCCATCGCTCTTAGGTTGCAGGCCATCGCTCTTAGGTTGCAGGCCATCGCTCTTAGGTGGGAGGGCCATCGCTCTTAGGTCGGAGGCCATGGCTATTAGGTTCGAGTACAATCAATTTGTCTTGAAGAAAATTGAAGGAATAGTGGCTCGACATGGCTCAACTATCTTGACCCTCCAGGCAATCTGGATGAAGAAGACGATTGATCTTTTTCACCAGGCCATTGTCCAAGGCCTACTGAGCTCGAGCCTGAGCTTGCAATTATTCTTGTTCCTATTCCGGGCAATGAGCATCACCTAAGTGAATTCTTAGAAATCATGGCCATCACTCCCAAAGAGTTCGTTCGACCATATTGAAAATGTTTGACCTGGTATGAAATCGTGTAAGATCCTTAGTAAAACAATGGTTGTAAGAACGTAGAACACCGAAGGCACACGGAAGCCTTGGGATACGGTCGTCGTAGCTTCCTGTTCCTGATCGGTTGGTTTCTGAATCGGCAAATGTCCCTTGGGATACACATCCACGCTGCTTTGCTATGGACGTTGGGCCGTGGGCTTCGGCCGAGGCACTGAGCGAGGCGACAGAGTGCCAGAGAGGTTCTCCGACCTGGGGGCGTCAAGCGTCGAGGGTGTACCGTCCAGAGAGGCTCTCACAACCCAAAAAGAAGACAAGGCACACAAGGGCCACCTGCAAAGAAAGAGGAAAAAAAAGAAGGCCACATGAGAAGAGCGTGGTAAAAGGGCCCCGGGCCTATGTTGAACTAGTTCTGCTGTATGCTCCGGCAACTCATCCAACGGTGCAACGGCGGTGTACAGCCTCTTCGGTCCCCCTTCGGCCCCCCTTCGGCCCCATTCCTAGCCTGGCAGTGGAATGCCGAAGCTGGGAGAACTGTGCAAAACTGTCTACAGGGAGTCCGCTAAAGCTTGGGGGCTTGACTCAAAGAACCATCTTGCAGGCTCATCAAACTCTCTGAGCCCCAGGCACTGCACAAGCTGTGAACTTTAAGGATCTCGACTGGCATCAAGCTGGGTTACGTGTCAAAATGATGCTTTCTTAGCCTGATGATCAGATTGTGGACTTCCTGGAGTTCCTGTGTTGAGAGATTCGTCTTTGACAGCCTCCAGCGACTTGAAGTTGCGCCGCGATCAGGGCGGACAGGGAGCCCATGGAAATCATTGTTGAATGGTCTACTGTGACCCTCCTCATCCTCAGTCCTTTCAAGGCTACGGAAATCTTCACGACATATTCTTCAGGCTAGCCTCCCAAATGTTACATACCTAGATTCCAGACAGCTGACCTTGGGCATCCCAGCAACGCTGATGAGGTTTAAGCATTTTGGAGCATGGGTTTCTTCGACTTATGGATGAACTGGAATGCATTGGTGTGCCAGGTAGTGCATGTTTATCTCGGATCAAACTGAGTACCACATCCCTGCTTGAGATTCCTCCTTTTAGAGAAGGAACAAATGGGAGATGCTGCTTTGCCAGCGACTTCTCCCATCTTCCCCCAACATACCGACGCTCGATCCTTATCCCTGAGAGCAATAAGCATGCTATCATCTACTATCTACTGTACATACTTCTACTTTGGCCACTACTTGCCTGACGTCTCCTCGGGTCATCTCCGTTCTTCGTCGATCGCTTCCTTTCCGTGGGTCTTCGTCGGCTTCCACAAGAACCTCCGACCTTCACTACGTAAACCCAGCGCACCTAACACTGCGGCAACGGGGCCCCGACATGCTCAGGGCTGCCACTGCGGCGACGCAGCTGCAGCCTGGTTAAAGCTCTCGTATTGACTTGGCTGAAAGGAATGTCAGGAATGCAATTGAGCTGGTGAACTGAACTACTCCGGAGACGAACAGAAGGGTTTTGTCGTGATGAGATCCCTGAAAGGAAGCTTGCCCAAACGAGTAGAATATGTCACCTCTTGTAGCATCTGATCTACTCTGCCGTCCTTCCTATGCATGTAGGCCAAAACATAGTGAAGCTTTAAAGCCAATCCTAGACTGCAGGAAGCACCCCAAGCCCCAAGTCAATGGCTCCCCTGGCAGCCTGTTCTTGTCCTGATTCAAAGCCTCAGCGACACGGTGACCGCGTGGTTTTTGAGAACCCTGATGGACACACCACCTGAGGGGTCCGTGCGCCCAAACGATGGAGGCCTCCATGAGCTCTGGTCACGAAATGAGCCATTGGACCACTGCAACTCCCGGAACGGGTTCGATGCTCCCAAGGTCTGATCCTGAAGCCAAACAGACCCGCTGTGAAGCCCGGCCATTTCAGCCCTCGCCATGCTGCAAGAGGCCTCAAACGGGGAAGCCCACGGCGGACTCCGAATTCAGGGGCTCCGTGTTTTCTGGCCACCAAGGAGCAAGAAGCTACGAACGGGGCTCCTGGCCTTACTACGTTCGTAACAAGAAGCTATTAGGAACAAGTGCATTGCTTCTAGTAACAAGTGCCTTACTAGTAGTAACAAGGTTCGCTACGAACGGGGCTCCTGGCCGTACTACGAGTAACAAGAGGACGCTCCAGGGACCCTATGCGACGGTTTGCGGGAGCATCCCTCATGCGACGAGTGAGAAGGTGTGCCATCAGATCGTGAAAATCTAGCAACTGAGCTCCAAATTGTCTGGAAAATACCAATTATGTTTGCAGTTGGGTGCTTTTTCCATTCCAAAATTTCACCTTGGTGACCCCTCATCAAAGACAAACCTTGAGACTTGCTCGGCTCCTTTTTCCGTACTTTCCTTTGAGATGTCCCTGCAATGAGGAATGGTGAAATCTGAAATGCCTTGTGATGGGAATCTTTTTGCGCGCCTCTGGCGCCCATGCCTCTGGCGCATGGCCCTCAGCTACTGGAAATACATGGGAGTCCCAGGGTAGGCCAACAGGGCTTGATAATTGCAGGAATCTAAAGCTAGTGGCGACTTCTGGGTGTGGGTCCAAATCCAAGCGTTTGCGGGCAGACTAGATGGAGCAAACATGCTGATTGACTCAGGTTGACCCAACCCATCTTAAAATTATTGCCATCGACATAGGCGATGGAGACACCACAAAAGGGTTGAACATTATGGACAACCAGCGGATCTGCATCCTTCAAACAATGCAAAACATGCCTACCTAGCAGCTAGTGCTGAAGTCTTTGGCGAGCTCGGGCTACTAAGACCTCTAGCATGCCTGGACACTCCTCCACGTCCTCCAGGAACTCTTTGAAGCACATCACATGTTGCGCGTGCATGCGGAAGCTGGGCGGCTTCGGCACGCCCGAAGGCAAGTGTGAGACCCAGGTATAGAAAGAACGTCGAGGTGTCTTGAGATTCTTGAAGTCCTGGTCGTCTTCGCTGTCTTCGGCAGCGCCTTTCACTTCGGGCTCGGGTGGAACGGAATCTTGCTGGAAGACGTCCTCTGGCTTTCGCGCCGCGGCCACACTGAGAAGACCCGAGTCCAGCATTTCCAACGCGGAGCGGGGAGGGGCAAGCGGGGCAGGTGGCACGCGTGAAAGCAGTCCAAGCTGCGAGCAAAAAAACTGCGGGATGGGAGCCTGACTTAACGATCCCAACATGTTAGCTCCAGCCAGTACAAACCGAGCCCAACTGCGAACACTTGATGCAACCCTTCAAGCCGTGGTGTTTGCACCCCCTCTGGATGCAAACGAGTGCAGGATGTTCCTTCTCTAACAGTTTTGCAAGCAAATGTCCATCTACAGCATCCATCTGAGAATGTCAACATGCTCCAAGTGTCCAAGGAAAAAAGAGATTCAAAACCGAATGTCGAATCGCGATTCAAATCCGTCCATGTCTTTTTGTGATTCTAATCTGGATCCGGTTGATGTTGCAGTGGGCTCATGTGGGCCCCGATAGATAGAGCATGCTAGAGCAATCTCCACAAAAGGTGGTTAGAATAGATTCATTTGTCTACATTTTGTGAGGCACTTGATATAGACCTCCTTGATCAGTGGTCATGAGCTTCCCACTCGTTGCTTGGTCTGTCCCGAACCGCGACTGGTCTCCTTCGGCCAAGCGGCTGGATAGTGGGAGGAGACTCCCGCATGGCGACTGGCCGACAGCAGATCACCTGCACCCGATGCACCCGGGGCGCTGAGGCCGCTGAAGGTGGTTTGATCACGAGCAACTCGGACGCAAATGACCGGCTGGCTTGAGCAACTCTCAGCTGGCCCGTACATGGGCTTACTGGGCTTTGGGGTCACCATGTTTTGAATGGGCTTCGAGAGGTTTCAGGAACCTTAACTGAACAATCCATAAAAGGCCCAGGAACGACCTGCCCAGGAACGACCCGCCCCTCGCTCGTGGCACCTGCCCTCATGGCGACGAGGACCTGAACCAAAGTGGCTCATCAAATAATACAACAGTCTATACAACAATAAACCGAATAGCGATGACCTCCACCCTAATAGCATGGTGTTCCACGAGTACCAAACTCATCCGTCATAGCATTCTGCACTCCTCCGCAATTCCTTTCCAAAGGGCTCTTCTTAAAGTCTTCTCCAAGGGAGATCATGCTTCAAAAGAACAATCCGAAGCAGGGGATCCAGTGTAAGACGATTAGGTATCCTGAAATCAGCTCGGCCATGTATCGCTCTCGCAAAAGGAACAAACGAATCAACCGCGAACACCTGAGTTTGGATCTACTCGCTGGGCGCCAAAAAACTTTTGGAGGGATCTAGTCGGTTGTGTATCTTCTCAACAAATATTGGTCGACTGGGCACTGGGGAAGCCATAGGGTTGAGAAGAAACATGTACATGAAGCACCAACCAGTTCTTGCTTTTGGGGATCTACACTGGCCGAGGTAATTGCAAACTTGTAACTTGTACCTCTTGAGTTGGCAGCTTCTGACCAAACATCTTTAGCCGTTACACAAGTATACAAAGATGCATTGTTTTCGGAAAAAGGAGTGGTACATCCAAATCTATCCGCCTGAGGAGAAAAGCGGCCTATTGAACTGGCTTCCCTGCCATTCAGGCCCTCCACACACGGATAGCATGTTGATACTTTTTTTGAGGGCTACTGTAATAACTAGAGGCTACGAACGTAGCTCCTGGCATTACTAGGAACAAGGTTCGCTACTAGCTCGTTGGAGGCCGCTGGTGGCCATCGCTCGGGAAGCTCGGTCGCTAACGAGCCGTTCACCGTCGGCCTGCCCGCCATGGCGAGATGCCGTCTGAAGAAAGCTGATAACAAGTAGCAAAGGGCATCGCTACTAGTAACAAGTGCCTTACTAGTAGTAACAAGTGCATCGCTACTAGGAGCAAGGACGCTACTAGGTTACTAGGGGCTCCTGGCCTTACACCTTCGTCTCCGTAGGTTATGGCCACATGCTCCTGAAGCTGCCGTTGCTCTGTTGATTTCTCCAGAAGGCATGTCTGTTTGTGGACCATCACCTTCAATGCAGAAAGGCATAGACTCTAGAAAGTGGAGGGTCAATCCGATCAAGGACTTGCTGCCCAAGCTGTGCTGCAGGTGCAGTGAACCCGCTCGAGACGGGCCACGACAGGCGAGACGGGATCCTGGAGCGACGCCCCAGATCTGCTTGGTGAATCGAAAGTCCGTTATCATTGTCATGTTAATAGCGATGGCCTCCATCCTAATAGCGATGGCCTCCACCCCTAATAGCTGTGCTGGTGCTGCTTGATTGGTTCAATGTGCACTGCGGCAGAAGTTGCGGCAGCTACACGTCGCTTGTTGCGGGGAGCAAGTCCAAACACCAGCAGCCAGCCCCAAGCGGATCTCGAGCAACGCGAGATGACACCGCGCCGAAGCTCGGCCATCGCCCTTTTGTCCACCGCGGCGAAGCTCGGCCACGTGCAGCATGGGGCCTGGGATGGTCAGGACAGAGAGACCCTCCTTGGGGAAAGAAATCAGCTCCCACTGAAACAAACCACTGAAACAAAGCCCAGAAATCCAGCTATCGATGGCCTAAGAGGCCTCCAACCTAATTACTAAGTGACCATAGACGACCCCAGCATGGTCCAGCTGCTTGTTGAGGCACATGTCTTGGAAACACCTAGACCAACGTGACCCAAACACCTAGAGCGATTATTTCAGAGTATCGACTTTGAGCAGAAGCAGAAGGATGATTGTCTTCGCTTTCATCTTCAGTGATCGCAAAACCACCAAAACGACATCAAAACACCTTTCCAAAAAATCACCGGTGTCCCAGCTAGGTCAGACCTAGCGACAGCTACGAGCTTGTGCCCTGTATACGAGCCCGCACTTTGGAGTGATTTCGTCACACAGCTCTAAGTGGGGCTCTTGGACTCTTGGAAAGTGGTAAAGAAAATGATCCCTGCGCTTGAAAAACAATGTCCTTTCTGGGAACACTTCTGTCTTGCCGTTTCACAACACCACGAGCCACTGCGGTCCCAAACCTCAGGACTTCTCGGACTTGGGCACACAAGAGGAGCTCTCCGAAGACCTGCCGAGCGCCGAAAAAGTCAGAGACTTCATGATAGGTAAGCTTTCTACTACAATTACTCAATTACTACAAGATACTATAAGATACTAGAAGCGATGGCCTCCAACCTACTAGCGATGGCCTCCAACCTGGTAGCGTTCATCCGTCGGGTGGGAGCGAATCCAACATGCCAGATCTGCCATTGGCAAACGTCGATTCGTCCACCACCAGGATGCTCGCAGAGTTCTTGGCTGCCGACGGGCTGAGCGTTCACATTGCAACCGCACCACAGAGCGGAGCCTCGTCGTGCGACGACTCGTGCGACGACTCGTGCGACGACTCGTGCGACGAGGAGCGAGTCGCAAAAGCTGGCTTGGGGTGGCATTGGTTTGTTGAGGGAGTCTAGCTTATCAAAGGATGGAGCATGATGCAAGACATGCTGTTCATTATTCCAAAGTAATGAACAAAAAAACACAAACATAATAATAAACGATACAATATCACGTACAGTGGTTTCAGAGTAGATGGCACAGACCTCAAGATGTCCTTTACATGGGGGTTCATATAAACCACCGACATTGGGCTCTGTGCCATCTACTCTCAATCCACTATAATGTAGTACATTATATATATATATATACTCCACATAGTCCAACCGATCGAACAAATTCTCGAGCTCTCGCCTTTGGCCGCTCCCTTCCGAGCTCCACAGTCAATGCCGGCGTTCGCGGAGTCGGCGGTGTCGTCCGCGGTGTCCGCAGTGCTGTCAGTGCCAGATCCTTTTGAGGAGGATGGAGAGGAGCAATCAAAAACACATGACCGTCCAAAAACCAAAAGGGGAATGGTAAGAAGGTTTTTTAGGCACCTATAGCATGTACATGTACAGTTCTGTCTGGGTGTTGTTGTTGTTGTTGTTGTTGTTCAACCATTGTTTCGTGGTGTTCAATTGTTTAGCTGGGGGTTGCTTGAGTAAGGTATTTCACGGTACTCCACTTGTGAACAAAATGACACAGAAGCTTTAAAAACATCTATTTTTCATTGTAGATTAATCATGGCATTTAGTACCTCCACGTTGAAGCCCACGTACCTAGTTCGACCCACCGTCATCTCCATTGTACTTTGACAGGCCGTCCATAAGATTCCATAAGTATGGTGTGTCTATCCATAATGCACCTTTCATGAATGAAATGTTCCAACAAAGTCGTTCATACAAACCAATTTGTCTTGCCATGCTGTAGTTCATTTGTTTGTTTCCTCGTTCGCCCTTTGCTTGGCAAATTATGCTTAGAGAGAACGTGCACTTTCAGCAGGTTGGATTTTTGTTGGGTCGAGTTTTCCTCCAGATCTAGAGAAAAGAAATAGAAAAAAGAACTTACTTTACTTCGAGTGATCCCAACCATGACATGTCAATCTGACAAACTTTCTGGCGTGTATTGAACATATTACCTCGGCATTCTATCTGGCATATCTTCTGACTCTGCCTGGCCGTACTGGGGTGAAGGATCAAAAAAAAGTATAAATAAGGATCAAAAAAACACTACCAGCGGAGGCTCGCGGTTGAGGACGACGCGGAGGAGGAGGAGGAGGAGAAGGACGAGGAGGACGAGGAGGTCAGACAGCTGACATAAAATCTACCAACCCTGACCTGACAGGTGGGGAATTACAAAAAAAGAAAGAAAGACGGTGCGGGGGTGTCATGCATAGGAAAGGAAAACAAACAGGCACCATCTTTCAGAGCGATCCTTTTACCAATAAAGTGAGAAAAAAGGCTTCTGGGAAGTCCTGTATCTTCCTTGCTTGTCTGCTTGTTCTCGTCCATGCCTGCAGGGCTCTAAGGCAATACAATCGGTTGTTTGGTCTTCCTTGGCCAAATGTGTCATATTGCTACCGAACCTGAAGAGAACATCACATCGCTATTTGGTTGGAGGCCATCGCTATCAGGTTGGAGGCCATGGCTATTGGGTTGGAGGCCATCGCTATTAGAGTATCATACAGTGTATGATAGGATCCTTCAGAAGTCTTTGCAGGTTGTTCTTCAGATCTGGGACTTCTGCGCCTGGTTGTGGCGGCTCGGAAGTCCCTTGAGAGCCCTCCGCCGATGATGCTTCATTGTCCTCGTCCTCGTCCTCATCATCGTCCTCGCCTCAGAGGTAAGACCATGAGATCAGAGCACTTACAACACCGGTGGCGGCCCGCGGAGCCTCTGTCACGAGAGCACCTGAGTTTCCAGGCCGCTGGCTGTTGGACTGGGGCCTCAGCGGCACGCGTCTCTGGCTCGGTCCGGCTCGGTAGTAGCGTCCTTGCTCCTAGTAGCGATGCCCTTTGCTACTAGTAGC